GGAATAACACTGGACTACTTGAAAAATACCAGTTGACGGAATAACACTGGACTACTTGAAAAATACCAGTTGACGGAATAACACTGGACTACTTGAAAAATACCAGTTGACGGAATAACACTGGACTACTTAAAGTACCAGTTGACGTTATACCACTGGAGTACTAGAAAAATACCAGTTGATGGAATACCAGGTCGTGTAATAACATTGAACTGCTTATGAACAAAGAGTACACAATCAGATCTATTTTGCAATTTAAAAAAGTTTATTACGGTGGTATTTGGTAGCCATTTTGTTTTCAGTTATCAAAATGAACTTGCAGCTTATACAACAACCAAATTAACTAAGAAAAAATATGTTTCTCTTCGCCACAATCCTAATTCCGCCTTCAGTTTTCTCCTCTAATTCCGCAGTGGGAAAGGGATGAAAACTTTACAACAAAACTATCGAAAAATTTCAAGCTACTTTCACTGAGGGACAGCGCCCTCTTAATAATCCAGTTTTATAGTTTGTATAGCAAAACTCTGGGTATCGATTCTCCATAGTAGACACTTTCATAAGCATAGAATTCATGCATGATGCGAAAAACATATCAAATCACTTGTAAATCGTGTAGTAATTTGTATTAAAGTAGGGAAAATTGCTGATCTAATGAAATCCTAATGGGAAAAGAACAATTGAGCTTCTAAAAACAAAGATATTAAAAAATTCCTCATCCAGGCATGATATGCCTTAAAATATAAACCATTGAAGTATTAGTAAAAATTTGCTGCTTTGGGTAAATGAGCGCCACAAGAGACTTAACCAGTAAACACTATTTTCTTTGCCATATTTGATAATGGTACCTGTTCGGTTATTATTATTTTCTTTTTTTTTATTTACCCTTCAATTTCCAACTAATACGTCTCTTTTTTTTTTAACTTACTTAATGAAGTACCGCCTAATATGGAAACAGACTGTTTAATCCAGTATCACGCCAATCCCAGACAAATCGGGGTAATATTGCCTGTAATGTTGAGGCTTAGCCAAATATATGCATTCTAATCCAGCTTAGCACTAGTTCCCCGTTAACAATGTACCGAGGATCAGAGAGATAGGAAATAGGGGAAACACGCGAACCTCCATAACTAAAGGAAAACATGCACGATTCTCTCAGCCGTACATAACAACGTTTTGTAGAAAAGGTTAGGCCTTTACTCGCACCACATCTATCTACCAGTCAAATCCATTCCATGATACAAACAGTTCCATTCTCTCAGCCGTACATAACAACGTTTTGTAGAAAAGTTTAGGCCTTTACTCGCACCACATCTATCTACCAGTCAAATCCATTCCATGATACAAACAGTTCCATTCTCTCAGCCGTACATAACAACGTTTTGTAGAAAAGTTAGGCCTTTACTCGCACCACATCTATCTACCAGTCAAATCCATTCCATGATACAAACAGTTTCATACTCCACTCA